TATCGGTCAGATCGGCCAAACATTTCAAATCACATGATTGGTTGTAGTTGATCGGCGCAGCATGGATCACGCCTTCACCGGGAAAATTAATTTTACTTTTATCTCTCATTTTTTATTTTTCCGGCAGTTTCCCTCTTTCTATTGCAAAGGCCCCATATAACCACATTAATTTTAAAATTTTATGACTATAACAAAGCCCTCTTTACAATCACTCGAGACCTGTGATTATAATGGGAAATGAATATTTTTAAAGAAAAGTTTTTTTTATTAAATTTTATGAAAAATTTGACTAATCTGCTTTAAATTAAATTTATATTTAAGTTTTGAACTATTTTTATAGACAACACATCCTTTAGTTTTACATTTACAAATAATTATTTTTAATTTAATTTCACTTTTTGTGTATTTAAAAAATATAGGACAACAATTATTCTTTAAATTTAAACTATAATAATTTGGGTGATCTATTTTTCTATATCGATTTCTTGCTTCTTTATAAACAAATTCATCAATTTGAATATTAGAAATTATAAGTGTATGAAAGCTAAAGTTGAATAATTCAACATATTCATTTTTATCCAAATTAAAAGGAAATATAAATACCCCAACAATATTATCTGGACCAGTATAAAAATGATGTCCAATAATAATATTTTCATTATTTTCATTTAAATTTTTTAATTTTAACACAGGAATTCCAATAAAGTTTTCTGAAGAATTTGATTCAATTTCCAACGAACACTTATAAAATTTAGGGATGTCAGTTTGATTAAAAATTTTCTTTTTAACTTCTAATCGAATATCAGAATTTAATTCATCATATTTTATAGAATTAAATTCTGTATAATTTCCAATAATCATATATTTGATTTGTAATACACATTGATATGGTTTAATAACTTCTTGATAACAATAGACAATATAATTTGGAATTTGATCCTGAGCAAAAACGATCTGGCAGTTAAAGAAATCATTTCTCATATCCTTTTCATCACGAATCGTTGCAAAAATACTAAAATCTGCCTTTTCATTTTCCATATATTTCAAAATATTTGTTGGTATTTCTTTAAATTTGCCAATAAGTGGATTTCTACTTTTACTTAATGTAAACTCACAAGTTTCAATACCCGAATAAATTTTTCTTTTCCCAATAGAAGAAAATATTACTTCGCGTAAATTTGTATATGTTGGGATATTGGTTAAAAGTTCAAAAGTATTAATAAAATTTTGATATAATTTTGAAATCCTTCCAATCCTTCCTCTTATAATAATCTTTGTCGGGATAAATAGACCAAAGTTTTCAATAATTTCTCCAACTTGTTTAGAATTTTCTACATTCTTCACATCGTTAATGAATTCTTCAGTTGGTTCTAAATAATTTTGGTATTCTAAACAGAAATCATTTGATGAATTAGTTTCTAATAATTTACAAAATATTACATCTTTGCAGTTGTCCGGGTAAAACTTCATCGTAAATGATCTCTTTTTCGTTATCGAAGAAGTCATATCACGTCCCGAATATCCATAACCTAATTTCAATTTCCAAATATATAGATTATAAGTTTTCTCCGGACCTTCTTTGCTAACGAAATCTCCTATATTGAAAGTGGATTCATCTTTAATACCATCTACACCTAAAAAAAATAGTTTTTCATCCATTTTAATTTCATTTTGATTTACGAGTTCTTTGCGAATTTCAAATAAACTATCAACTTTGACCGAAACATTATTCCCCAAAATTAAATTTATCGTGATGGTATGTGATTCATTCGAACTTTTTAAATATAGATGATAAGTTTTCTCCGAATCCTCTTTGATAACTATATCCCTTAGATTCAACGTAGATTCACTTTCGTATGAAATAAGACGACCATCTTTGCCTCCAAAAAATACTCCATCATCCATTATAATTTCATTTTTACTTGAGAGTTGTTTACGAATTTCTAATAAATTATCATCAAATTTCAATTTGACAGGAATAGTTTTTTCCGATACTAAATGAACTGATACTTCTTGTGTCAAATTGAATTTTTTTAATTTAAAAGCCATTTCAAGTAAAAGGAATTTTTTTTAAAAACAAAAAAAAATTAAAAAAAATTGTTTATTGTGTTATGAATACAATATTTATTACTTTTGTATTATTGTTTGTGTTACAAATAAACGTCTGTTTTTATTCATGCTTTTTTACATGCATTTTGAGTTACATTACATTACATTGTGTAATCCTAATTGGACAAATAAAATAAATACTACTATTTTTTTTTTTTTTTAATAAAAGGCCCGAGTTGGTTTCTATAATATTTATATTTCACATCCCAATGTCTGCAAGTGCTTTAAAAAAAAAATTTAAGTCAAATCCAGTCAGAGTCAATCAAAGACATTTGATCGACAAAATTTTGGCTCGGTACGGTTTTTCTATTATTCAATATAGATAAAAAAATTTTTTTTTATTTTACATTTTTTTCATTTTATAGATATTCTACCGAATTCGTAATATTTCGGGAATTATTGCAAAATTCTGGTAATATTTAATTAATATTTTAAATAACCTAATATTTACTATGTAATTAATCCTTAATTCTCTAATTTTTTAAAGATGATGCTGAATCAAAAAATGTCGAAATTAAATTTTTAACTACAAATCCAAGCACAGATAAAAATATACTAAGGAACGAAATTAAAAAAATTCAATTCAAAAACAATGGAAAGATTTTTCAGCCCCAAGATTGGAAAAGAATCACAAATATTGCCGTAGGAAATCCTGGTGAACAAAAAGTAAGTAAGATATTGATTGATTGATGTTGTTCGTTCAGTTGGTTGATATGATATTTTCTTATAGATAGGGGCTTTCGGCGTCGGATTTTATTCCTTGTTTTCAATTTGTGAAGAACCATCGTAAGAATACTTTTTCAAAATTTCGTTTTAAAATCAATACTTTCGTATTCAGTAACATTCATTATTAATAGTGTAATGTCTGGTGGAGAAGTCATGAGCTTCTTTTGGGATGAAGATCAATTAAAATATATAAAAACTGACGACAAAGAAGGGAATGAAGGGTGGACAACATTTGAAATGGTTCTGAGAAAACCTGATAAAGTAAATATTAACTTATAAAAATTATATGCTAATGTTTGTGTAGTGCATTAACTTATTATTTTCTATTAGTTTCCAAATGTTGAAGAATTTACTCGGTTCTTGGCTGGTTCATTAGTAAGTTTCTTGGAATTTTGTAATAATAATGTTAGCACTTTTTATAATTTCTTTTAATATTTTATATATATGCGTATTAAACAGGTATTTATGAGTAATCTTCAAGGAGTGTCTGTATTTTTCAATAATACTTTGGTGATAAATTTGTCAAAGAAATTGTCAGATATAAGCCATATAAAAATTACACCCGAAATTAATACTTATTCTCCAAATAAGATGTTTCAGCTTACAAAATTGTCCATTATTGATATTCCTATGGACGCGACAAGTTTATTAATTCCAAAAGAGAGTTCAGAGCAACAATCATTAGTTACTAATTATCAAGAAACTTCTATGCTTCTTAAAGTTGCCAATGGAAAGTTAACCATTATGGTCACAGATGAATTTTCTAAAGAAATGAATCGAATTATTAAGAAGGATCTGCCAAATGATACGATTATAGATATGATGTTCACCGAGTTTGATAGAAATTATGATAAACCTATTTCTCCTATATTTAAGGACTTATTTCCATACCCGGAACAAGGAAGAATATATATTGGTTTTTCAACCTATCAAACGACAGGATGTTGCTTAAATTTGTCAGCTCATTTGGTTCCAAGTGTAGAGCGTGAATCAATTGATTTGGTAAACAAAACTTTGAAAGAATATAATGAGGGAATATTATATTTGGCTGGAATACTGTGTAGAATTTTATATGAGAATGAAATGAGTAAAATAAAAAATCTTTATGAGATGATTGGCATAGATGATGACGAACGCTTGGACAAGCATAAACAGCTTGAAAATCATTCTGCACATGTCTTAAAAATCTTCACATTCAATAAAAGTACACCCAAAATATCTGTTAGTGAAATCATCGAAAAACAATTTTTCGATTGTTCAAAACAAAAATTGCCGATTCTTTCAACATGCGGCATACTTCCAATTAATGTCGTTCGAATGCCTAATTCAAAAATGGAAGGTTTCATAAAAACTATTCCGATTGTTTCAAAAATTGTATTTGAATATTGCAAGTCTTTTTTTGAAAAGGCAATGGATATAAAAGAGTTATCTTTTCAAGATGTTTTAATTGAATTAAAAAATAGGCATTTATCCGAAATTGAGATAACTGCACTTTTGAAATGGTTGATATCTTATAGATCAGAAAATAACATTACACATGAGGAGTTTGCACAATTTATGGAATTTGCTACTTTTCTCATTGAAGACGAAATTCGTCATTTGAATACGATACGTTATATTTTAGATTCGAATTTGATGCTTCCGGATACGAAAGTTCCTGATTACGTTTTGCCATATAATATTTCCAAGGAGTTTAACGATTCTGAGATTATTGAATGTTTTGGATGGATTAATCTACCTTTGATTCATTGGGCAAGATTTATTGTCGATCATCATGATTTGGAATCTGAACCTATTTTTGCTGAAAAGGTTCATACCATTTTAGCAAGCCGTCTAAAAACTACTTCCCGAGACGACAAGAAAATAGTTAAAGAATTATTTGCTTGTAAAAGATGTATTCCAACAACAAAAGGCATGAAAAAACCTGATGAAGCTTATTTAGAAACCGTTGATTTATTTCCTGATCTACCAACGATTAAATTTCAAAACAACTTTTATTTCCAAGATTTGATGATTCTCCTTGATATTAATAAAGTAAGAAATTATTTTCATACCTTGATATTATGACAATTCTTAAGATAAAAATGTTAAATTAAATTTAATCAATAGGTAATTAAAATAAACGTTATTGAAAATTATATTTCTGATGAAGAGAATTGTGATCATATGCAAGTTGCAAAATATTTTGGTACAGCATTAAGTAATCTCGAAGAAAGTTATTTGGAAGAATTAAAAACTAAAGAAATTTGGTTTGCAGATGGGACAGCCAATCTTACAAATAATAAAGCCCGACGGTTTGTTGCGAGTGATTTATATGTACCATTAGATTTACATCGTGAATTTGGTTTGTCTATTATCAAATGGACAGGAAATTGGGATGCTAATTCTGAAGAAGGTATTTATATTAATTTATTGCCAATGGTTATATTCTTTGAAATTAATTTATAAATTTTGAATTTTTAGCGAAATTCTTAATCAAGTTGGGTTTAATGGAATATCCAACCTTTTCAAAGGTTCTTGAACTTTTAGCTGAAAATGAAATTCGTGATAAGGCCTTCGAATACTTTATTAAAAATTTTGAGAATAAATATATAGATAAGTATAAAGCAGTCGAAATAAATATAGCGTTCCTGCCTTGTTCCGAACAAGATATATATGCCAAACCTTCAGAATGCTTTATCAATCCTGATTGCGCGGTAATGGAATTTAATGTTATTCGCCAAGATTATCGATTTCATGCTGAAAAACTTGGTTTACATCAACATCCTGATCATCACAAACTTGTCGAAAATTTAACTAAGAATTTACCTAGGACTGAAGTTAAAGCGAAGGAAATTTTTGAATATTTAGAAACAAGGAAGGATGGATTTGTTAAACTCGATTGGGATTTCTTAAATGGCTATGAATTCATTCCTACACGTAACAAACATCAACATGATATTATAATTCATAAAAGTCCACTTGAATGTTTCTTTAAGAGTCAAGAAGATATGGAGGGAATGTATGAATATATTTATAATTTTCATAATTTATCAAAAAAAAAGTTATCTCATTTAAAATTAATAAACTTTTTTTTTTGATCAGGTTTGGTCAATTCCTTTCATTCATAGATTTTGGAGAGAAAGCCAATAACTTTTTACAAAAATGTGGTGTTGCAAAAACTCCTCCAGCGGTAACTATCGCTAATTTGTTAGTAAATTCGTCACATGAAATTTGGAAGTCTTTAGAAAATAATAAAGAAAAATATAAAATTATTTTGAAGAAACTTGCTGATGATTTTAATACCATAGAAAAAGAAAAACATTTATTTAAAGAGATGAAAGAGAGGCCTGTTTTATTAGGTGTATTCGAAGGAGATGAAGAAAGAAAATATGAATTAAATTCTGTTGAGAATATTTATATAAATGATGACGCTACATATTTGGAAACTTATCGGAATCTTTTATTAACAGTTCCAGAAGATTACCCTAAATTTTTTTATGAAGTATGTTATTATTATTTTTTAAGATTATGTTAATGTTAATTTTTTAAAATCAAAGTGAATTATAATGTCTTTTTAATTTAGTATTTGGGATGTAAATCATTGAGCAAATCTATTGAAGAGGAAGTTGAAATATCAGGGAAAAGACAAGAAACAAAATTTTCTCAAGAATTACAAGGAAAACTCAATGAAAGAGCTCATTTGTTCTACTATGATTATCCTAAAAATATTATTAAAAAAGATGAAGAATGGCTTAGAAAAATCAAAGTAGTAGAGACAGATGGAATTGTGATAAAACTTTTATTGAAAACCAAAAACAATCTTAATAAATCTAAGTCTGTAGCTGCATGTTTTCATGAGGATAAAGAAAAGGAGATATTTACTCTTTATATAACATCAAAGCAAGATTATCATGATATTTCAAAAAGTCTAGTCAAGTTTATCTATAAATCACATAAACAAAGAGACATTAATTATCTGACTATGATACTAAGCGCTAATGATATAAACTATTTTACAAATAAAAATGTTAAACAAGAATATATTTCTGAAGAAGAAATCTCTAAACAAATAAATGATTTGAAACAAGTATATGACTCAAAACATGGAAATTTTCAATCATATGATTTATTATTTGAATCACTAAAAGCAATGTTTGCGGACTGTGAAGACGATTATATCCTCTGTTGTCTAGAACAAGCAGAAGATGATAAATTAATCAATGTTGAAAATCAACTAATGAAAGGAAATTACCCAAAAATTAAGATCCCCGTTGTTCCCCATGACCCGCCTGCTACTGTAAAAATTGGAAAGACCTTCATGAATGTAATTCAAATCTCTCGGTATAATTTGGGAAGTTTTTTGAGTAGAAACCAAAGAATTTCTTGTAAAATCATTGAAGAAGGTACAGTATTTTATAATTTGAGAATAATTATGTCCTTAACTATTTAATTTATTTTATTATTATTTCAGACTATTCAGATCGTGCATTAAAATTTGAGAAATTTTTAGATGGAATAGAGTTTCATGTTCCAAAAGATATGAAAGATATAGATAAATCTACGATAACTTCAAATCAAGTTTCATTAAATAATTTTGTCAATTTATTAAAAGACCTTATTGAAGTTTTTGAATGTGCGCCAAAGTTTATTAATATCTTTTATGAAAATTCCAATCTAATAGCATTCAATCAGAATCGAGTATTATACTTTAATTTCAAAAGTTACCTCGATTTGTACATAAGTGATCCAGAGCTTGATGCAATGACGTATTGGTATATGGTGATCTGTCATGAATTAGCACACAAATTTGTTAAAGAACACAATTCTGAATATCAAGTAAGTCCTAATTTTAAAATGTTTCTTATGATATCACTATAATAATTTTTTTCTTAATTTTTCTTTAGCACCATCTTTCATCTTTTGTAACAAAAAATATGAAAAGATTATTAAACAGAATGAATAAGGCGAACAAATAGGCAAAAATAGTTAGAATAATTGATGATTTTATTTTCATATCGATTTTTTTTTATGTATTTTTTTTGGTTTTGAAGTTAGCCATTAGTCTGTTTTTGCAATTTTTTTAGTCTGACCTTACTACCCAAATGTCTGAAAAATATGTCATTTTGGTCCTTTACGACTTTTTTTTAATATGTATTTTTGCTTTTCCGCCCAAAATCGTCTGTTGTGGCAGTAATAAACCCTTTTATTTTTCTAATCTTTGAAACTCGTTCGTTTTAAATTGAAATTGATTTATCGTTATCGCTTATATAAATAAATCTCAAACGCATATTAAATTAGGAAGTAACGCTTTTATTTACTTACCCGAAACTTGGTATACCATCCAAATGGTGATGTTTAGAAATTTAGAAAGTATAGTATTTGATGCTTTACCGAATCATCTATCAGTTGAAATTTTTTTACATAGATAGTATTATTTAAAGTAGAGTAACTTCACGGGTAATCGGCGATTACCGTGAAGTTACGCCATATTATTTTTTTTCCCCCCCCCCCCCCCC